AAGGAATGTGACAGAACTGTAGCATCCTCAAATATTGTACATCTCTTTGTCTGCAAAATTTGAGCGTATTTACCTTGTATTTAAAAATTTTCACGATATCCCTTATATTCAAGGTTTAATTTGCTTGCACAATTTTCCTCTCTCAAAGCTGATGAGTGTGCACTACACGCACCTTTGTTCGCACCTTGTTGCGGGTATTATTCATTATTTATTTACTCAAATTATGAATTTACTATTTTGCAATTGTACATTTATTAAAATCTTCATTATTTATTTTACACAACTAGTGTAGTCCCCGTGCGCAGCACGGTGGGGTTGTTTCCTCAAACCTTTTTTCTAAACTTTATTTTAAATATTGATGTTTATAAATTAATAATTTGATTATAATGAAAAAATAAGAAAGAGAAATACAAAGTATAAAAAAAATCATATATTATTAAACACTTCTCTATACACAATATTATTGGTTTGATTTTCTTTCAAACCTTCTTCTCCACAAATTAAAATTTTCAGACCCTTTCTATTAGTAACACGAGAGACAACGACATATAACTGACCATGACTAAAAATTAGTTTCTTCAAGAATAAGCCAACATGCGATAAGGATTGACCTTAACTCTTGTTTATATATAGTCATTGCATACGAAACCATAATGAGGAACAACCTTCTTTATATATATATAATATAATATACACATGAAGCATGTTGCAGGTAATGTAATAGTGATGTATGGGCGATGTGAAAAAATATTCATAATTATCGGGTAACAAAAAATGATGTAGACAAATGCCACGTTGTGATCTATTTTACATGTTAAAAGTTTTGTTAAGTAATTAAAATAGCTAATCAAGTTTTTTTTGTAGTATCCCGTCATTTTAGTCAGGAGTGTGTAATAGGAAAGATATTTCAAGATTGTGTACAATAATCTTACTCAAATTACATTTATTTTTTAATTTGATATGTAATAGGAAAGATATTTCTACATATTCTCTACAATAATCTTACTCAAATTATAATTATTTTTTAATTTGAATGTCAATTTTTTAGCCGCCACTTTTCAAATTTTTTTAAAAGGATTACTAATAAAAGTAAAAACGAATTATTTAGGCGGGATTGCTACTTCTATTTCAGGTATATATCAAACTTTATATATATAGATTATATAAAAAAGTTAATAAATACAAAAAGTATTTAAGACTAATTATGCACTTAATTTAAGCATAAATGAAATCTATATTGTCATTTGTTAGTAGAAACATTCAAATAATAAACAGTGTAGGATATATAAGTTTACAATTAAAATATAAGAGTGGATATGCAATTGGCAAAACAGTACAAAATTATTTTTTATTAAATATATTTACTAAAAATCTAAAAACTTAAAAATCATGTGACGTGGGAAATAAGAAAACTTTTTGTCTCATTCTGTTTCAGGGGATTACTACAGTCTCATTGGCGGAATGATTCCGTCATTGTTTGTTATGGTGAATTATCTATACTACATAATCTACATGTGTATCTAACGGTGAAAAATATTGACGGAACCATCTGTAACGTAGTCATCCCCATCCCCTCTTTTTCAACTTGTTCTTTTTTCAGAGTGGTGGGAAATTAAGGATGAATTCGTTTAGCATGAATATTGAGATGATACAAATAAAAAATAAAAATTATTTATTTTTATTCTAAAAAAAGAGAGATTAATTTAAAATTATGAAAAAATATAAAATAAATATAATAATTAAATGGTATAAAAAATAATAAAGTATTGATAGAGAAGACTAATAGTTAGAAACATATAAATGGATGAATGTTTTTTTGTCGATAAATATGAAGTGTTTATTTTTTATTTGTGTTATCGAATGCATAAACCGTTGTTTCGAAGTTTCAAATTATAAATAAAAAATATAATGATATATATTTTATAAAAAAATAATTATCTAATTTTTTATACACACAAATCCATGCCTAACATTTAAAATGGGGGAAAAAAAAGGGAGCACAATTACAACCTCATTCACAAAATGGTATAAACAAAAGTACCTGCTAAAAAAAAGGCGAGCTTCAGAGAAATCAGAATGAAATATAATAATCAGCATAAGAAATGTTTGTTTTTGTGTTGTGAGGTATGAAATATTTGTGCCAGAGAACGTCAATCTCATTATGACAAGTATTAACACAAAAATGATCAGTAACCTTAAAAAAAAAATATACCATTTCACTGATACAAGTTTGACTCTTTTTGATTCAGCCATAGTTTCCAACACTTTGCTCACAGTTCATTTTAAATCCATACTGTTGATTACATATTCAAGTAACAATTTCGAAAGTTTCTACAAATACAGAGGAACAATAACCACATGACTTCTGAACACATAAAAATTGTAAGAAGAAGGCCACACATTTGTGAAGAATTAAAACTACTAACGTGTTTAGTCAGAATTTACCATAACTCGTGTGGCACCATCAACCAGTAAAAATACTTCACCAAACCGTCTACCAAGGCCTTTTTCATTTTCCTAATAAAAAAAGCAAGAAACTGTTGGAGAGCTTTTAAATTTAATTAGATTTTTATTTTACAAGCTTTGATGAATAGTTCTTCCAAATTTAGGGGAAAACATAATTTTGTTCATCCACATTCTCGAACAGTCGAACTACCTTTCAACACCATTTTGAGTGGAAAGGCAGGGAAGATGCACGTCAAAACCATAATAAAAGAAGGACATAAAATGCTTGTTTATTTGCAAAAAAACTCCATGAAATTGTGTAAACAATTGTACCGAACCCGAGTAAAAATCCATGCAAGTGATCCTTATAGAGATCCCTAGACTCTTCAAGTATGATAAACTCGACAGATAAACAGCTAGCAGGTCATTGCACTGCAAACTATTGAATGAATGCTTAAAGAAAACAAAATACAAAAACATCATCACAACAAACTCAACAAATGCACTGGGCTTCACATATATAAATTCAAACTACCTTTCTTTTTCGACGACACTCCACTATAATTCGAAGCCGAGTGGACCCACGCGACAAAACAACAGCTTCGGCATCCTCCGGCGTGCTGCCATTCCCGAAAATATCACATTTGCCCCAACAATCCAGAAAATTCAAGTTCCCCCCATCACCCTCGACAATAAAACTGCCCAAGTTGTGTGATAAACCGGCAAGATCACCCACTTTCACCGTCAGCATATCGGCTATATCCTCTTCAATTCTACTGATTCTCGGAGAAAGATTTTCGAGCCGGCTTTTGTACAGCTCCGCCGCCTTATCCGACTCCATTTTCATCGACTTTAAGCTATCCACACTCTTATTCGCCTTGAGAGTTTCACCCTTCGGCTTCTCGATTTCTCGGCCCATTTTCTCACCATCGTTCTCCAAGCACCTGCATTTCTCCTGGTAAACTCCCACAAAACAATCGGCTTCCAAGTTCTTACCTTTGAGCTCTCTGATTTTCGTGCTCAGCTCAGAAAAAAGGGTATTCCTTTCGGAAGCTATTTTCTGATTCTGGACGGTGATTCTCTCGCATCACTCCCTGGCCCGTTTTTCACGGTGCTCGCAGCCCCAGCCTCACGCTCAGCCCACACATCCAACAGCCATGAAAATCGGCCAGAACCTTCTCCATTCGGTTCGCTTTGTGAAGCTCAAAAAAATACTATGAACATATCCTAATATTTTATTAACAATCAACGTGAAAAAATAATTTACCTAGTATGTCACTCAAACAAAAATGGTATATAAATTTGTGAGAGACACAAGGACAATCATCCAAAAACAAACAACAAATAAACCACACAACTATAGAAATAAAGAAAAAAAAAAGGAAGAAAAATACATAGAAAAACAGAGCCCACACAGAAAAAAAAAAAGAACAAAAACAACAAAATTAAAAAAAAGAACAGAGCCCTCTTAGTTAATCCGAAGCTGTTTGGGTCCTAAAAACTCACTGGAGATTAACGACCGATGGCCTCCAGCGTTGGAGGAGCTCCCAATATCACCTTAGCAACATCAAAAAACCAAATGAAAATTGAAAAAAAAAATGCAGAAAAATAGAGCAAAAATTAAGCTAGAAAATCAGAGAAAATCACAAGGTACAGGGCGAGACCGGTGAATAAGCAGAAGGATCCACGGACCTCGTGACGGACTCAATCTCCGTGTCGATGCCTCGAATATTCTCGCGCAAGCCGTCGAGCTGGTGCCGAAAGCCGTCGACTGCTTCTCAAGCGCAACGTGGCGGGGGAGGGGGGCGCGTGAAAGCCACTCTCGTCGCTGGCCATTGAGCTGATGGTGGAGAGTCCACCGGCGGCGCTCCACGGGAGGAGGGCAAGGGGGGTTAGGGTTTATGGGGTGGATGGGAAAGAGTCCAAATGTTTGGTATTTATTCCTAAATTAAATTGGATAGTTAGATAAATAGGCAAGATTTTATGGTTCTCGCTCCTCTTTTAACGGAAAGATTCTGGCAGCCAAAAGAGCAAGTTGAGGGCGGCGGGAATATAGGCTGAAATCAATAAAAAAAATTCCAAAAATTTCGAATCACATAATGGGCGGCGGGCTTATTCAATATTTTTTTGCGAAAAATCTTGCTTAAACTTTAGCCGGGAATTGAAATCATTTTTTTGCTGATTTTCCACTTGATTTTTTCAAACAACTATCATTCCCTCTTTATATATTAATAGATATATAAATTTACCATATGGCAAGGAAATACCTCTAATGTCGGACGACCCAAAGTGTATAAGGGGCATCTCTTCACAGACTTGGATTTCCCCAATCCCTTAACTCCTAATTACTACTCCGAAATGTCTCTACTTGTCCTAGTTCGAGTCGTCGTCGGTTGCTCCCCACGCAATCATGTGTATCATTCATTTCTTTCGAGAGGCCTACTCGAGCTCGTCTCGGTCAGCTCGGCCCTTTTTGTCTCCTTCAAGATCTCCCTGCCCTTGAGGACAAACTCCTTCAAGTGTCCTGCCCGTACCAGCCTCTCAATCTCGTGTCTCAGCTTTTTTCAAGTATCTATTGTATGCTCATAGTCTCGCGATAGTGGCAATATGCCTCGGCCAACTTATGGAGGCTTCGTTACCTCGGTAGGGACCTAGGTGGATCTAACAGCCCGAGGTTCCCCCTTCCTTCCATAACCTTGAAAATCTGCCCATGTGGCGTCGCTAGGGGGTGTAACAATCAATTTTTTCCCCAGCTTCCAACCTCTTTCTTTTATATGCCTTCCTTTCGACCCGACCTCTTTTCTTTAGGTCAACGTCGATCTTTTGATTTTTTTTATCCTTCTTTGTCTTGCATCGTGATGTTGAAAGTTCGCTTTTGTCTCCTCAATATTGATATACTAGGAGAATCATTCTAACAACTCATCATAGCACCTCACTGGTTTCTTGGATAGGGAGCTTCAAAAGGGACCAGGTCGCAATCCCTTGGTTAGTCCTCCCACCTTGCCTTCTTCTGAGGTCGAGGACACGTCTACACATTCTTTAGAGTATAGAGCTTCATAGGCCCTCAGTGACTTCCTTTTCACTGCACGTTAATCAATTTCATGTTAATGGGTCCATTATATGTCAAGGCCAGCTCTCAGAATTCATACAACAAATCTACGTTGAAAACCTCTTCCGCAAAGGGGAGCCTATAGATCATGGGACCCCAACACCCCTCAATCTTTTTCTGGAGATCAAGCAACTGAGCTGCCATACGCTCCGACGCAGGATCTCACTGAGCCTACAACACGACACCGGTGATCATTCTGGTTCGTCGTCTCCCCATTCGTTGCAATGCGTCAGTCCACACTGTCGCCTCCAGTGTTCTATGGATGTGTTGGGTGTGTATTGTCACCTTCTCTGCAATCATCTTCTTCAGCTATGCTCGGGTGATATGAATGAGTTGCTCAAGAGGGTAAGGTTGGCTTCCATGTTGGATGGGACTGCCTCATGCGCGCAAGTGAAGGCTTATTAAATATCATGCAAATTGTGGAGAAAACATTTTTCGGCTTTGACTGTACTAGAGTTGGGTATCATACAAACAATGCCAATCTGATAGTGATCTACCAAATAACTCCGGTTTGAGGTCACTATCTTCTTTAATCTCTAAATCGATCTGACTCGCTCATCGGAGTACTTGAAAAGCAGTAAGAGGGATCCCGATGTAAACTCTCTGATGATGAGGTAAGTTTTTTCTCAATGTGGAAAAGATGCGTGTGAAAATAATTAATGTCAGTATATATGGAACTAGAACCTTTTTATTGCTATACCACAATCCTTATATGTAGAAATATTTGTCTTGTTCCCCAGGAATATCTTTTTGACCAAGAATGTCATATCTTGTTGCCCAAGAATATTTTATGTCATCCAAGTCGACACGAAGTCTACTTGCGGAGTTGTTCAAACCCCCGCAACACTACCTCGGGCACTGTGTCTCCTTCAAGTGTAGGTCATTATGTCAATAACTTGATTTAATGTTTCTGAGATTCCCTCCTTAAAAGGATCGAACTGACAAAGTCGTTTGGCCTACCTTGAACTAAGGGAGCTCCGGTTTGTGACCGAGCTATCCATACTTATCATTGAGTAAAGCCTTTGCTTGTAAAAGACCTTTTTACTATTTAGACTCGGTAACACTTACTATAATCATATTTATCAGCTATATGTTAGTAAAAAACAATTTCAATTATATTTGAGTTTTATGTGATTGCCTAATTCTAATAAGTAGGAATAACTAGGCAAATCGGTATACCAAAATTTGGACTTGGATTCGCTACATTTCTATTACTACTATATGTATCGCTGTATCGATTTTATATATAAATAAGCGATGCACGTACTCCAAGAAATTAATTGGAGTTAGGTGAAATAGACGTTAGAGGGCGCCTCATGGTTTCTTTTCAACTCGGAACGTTCTTGATCTGCTTGGCTTGAAGAAAATATTTTTCTTGTAGAAAATGCTAGTTGAGGTTACTCTAAAACAAATGTTGGAGCCTTCCTCTAGCGCTAATCTGTTGACTTGCGAAATTCGAGTCAATGGGTTAGGGAAATTTCCCCAAGTAAAAATTGTAACTACACTGAAAGAGGTCAGACACTGTATTTTTATATAGTGAAACAACTCAAGTACTTACTACGACATATTTATTTTTAGAAAGATAATTTCTAGTTATGTCTTTGGTACAATAAATGAGGGGTATTTATAGTGAAAAATCCACGGGCACTGTTCACGATGTCAGTACATCAACATTTAATGTGATTTGATGACGGCGTGCAGCTCTGCAGGTCGAGTCACATTGATTACTTTTCGACAGTACGATGGACATGCATCTTGGTTGAATTTAATGCGTAGTCAGAAGTTGGTCTCCGAAGGATCTTGAACAGTTTCTTGTGTCTGAGTAACCGAGCTCCTTATGAAATTTATCTCGTTGCCGAGCTCTTTACTTCATTGTTTTGTCTCAGAGGTCAGATATTTACATTATTTATTAGGTGTGTCGGTTGATAAAGGGGTCAGCAGTTCATATGTCAACATGCATGCCACATATTAGCATAAGATTTATTTTTCCATTTGAAGTTGCAAATAATAAAATAAGAATAAGTTGATACATTTTTTAGCATACCTAAATATAAATCACGACTAGAGGTGCAAACAAGTCGAGTCGAGCTCGATTTCAAGTTAATGGTGCTTGAGTTTAAGCCATTAATGAGATATTAATCAAATTTGACTTGTTTATCAATATTAAGTAGTCAAACTCGAGCTTTAACAAATTATATTAATATTAACAAGTCTTAAGTCAATCTTGACTCTTAACTAACCGAACTTTATTTGAGCTCTCGGCTTGTTTATCAAATGTGGCTCTCCTAAACAACTCTATGCACGAAACGGTTTATTTTTCGTCCGCTAATTGTGCTTAACACCGATTCATTTAAGAGTATATTTGGCAACAATAACACCGAGAAGAAAAAAATTAGTGGAAGTATAAATTTATTTCAATAATTTGAGAGATTGCGCATGGCATGATATTGACAAGTTTATATATTTTTTCAAAACTGTAAAGTATAGCTTCATCCATGAACTGTAGTATTATATTTTCTAATCACGGGGAAAATGTAAAAAATGCATAGATAATTTGCTTTCCATTCTATGGCAAATAATAATTATATACTTGTACAATCGTACAATACCTATTCCACTATAGTACAAAGTTTGAAATTTGAATACTGACAGGGTACGTGGCAATCGCGAATTGGTTTAACGTAATTATGGAGTAAATGAAAAAGTGCCATAATTATTTACTAACCATTCTATACAGGAGCTGACAGGTGCCCTAACCATTCTATATTGTTCTTTTATTTTCAGCACAGAGGAAAAAATAAACAAAATAAATAAAACGGACACGCGTCCCTGAAAATTCCAAAAGCGAAAATGTGACCTTTGAGATTCCAATAAAACAAAAGGCTAATATAAAAAAGCTATGCAAGGCATTCAATGCAGGGGTGAAAACCAGAGCATTTTTTTTTTTCGCAAATAAAACCAGAGCATTTAATGCAAAGGTAAAACGCTTTCTGTCCATTGGCTACGTATCAGAATATATACAAGTTCATAGTCATGTGTAGCTTGTCATATTAATATTTTACAATTTTTACTTAA